ATCACATATACAAGTCTTGCACATCAGCATATGTTAGATAAAAAATTACGTCACATATATAAGTCTTGCACATCAGCATATGTTAGATAAAAAATTACGTCACATATATAAGTCTTGCACATCAGCATATGTTAGATAAAAAATTACAAAATGTCATTCTATTTAATAAACTTATACCTCATAGTGTAAGTTGTTATCAGTGGTTCAATTTGTCAAGTATTTGTGTACACACACTATGGATTGCATAGTCCTTTCCTTACTTCTTGTTAAAACAATTATAGATTGGCTGGAACTTGTTTGGAAAGTCACAGCAACAACTGAAAAACTTGTAAACATGAAAGTTGAACTTGTTCATGAAGGCTTTATCTCTTTATCCAAGAGTAAGTGAAAAAACTACACATTGCTGATTAATGAAAGAACTATCTACTAGGAAAAAACAATTAGGAAAATTTAAATTGATTTTCTAAGATCAAAGTAGACACACTGATAACTTACTACTATGATTAACACAAGACACACACACACACCAACATACTAAGATCTGTATAGATCATAAATGTTGAATGAAATACAGATGGAGCTACGTGTGAGGCTACACAGCATCTAATTAAATATCGGCAGTTACTTTACTAACTAGATATCTTAAAGTCTGTCTTTCTAGGTTAACTACGAAAAAACGAAAATTAACTTCAACATGCATGTAGAAGTAAGGGTAAAGTGGGTTCCATTACATAAAATTTTGAAATGCAGTAAAATTACAGTTCTACAGAAGATTAATATGATTAGAGTTTTTTTTTTTACATGAACGACAGTTTTTTGATTTAAATATTTCAGTTTTAGTGCAAGAAATAGCTAGCTACATAAAACACTGACACAATTAGAAATAGTTTAATAAATTAAACATGGTTTTACATGGTTCACGGGAATATAAAATCCCAATCATGAAATGGCTAAATATTGGAAAAAAAAAAGAATCAAGTTAAAAATTATCAATCTCAATAGGAATATAAACGGGTGAATTTCTTTAACACGTTTCTATAATACAACATTGATTTGTTTTAAAAACATAAACCCCATCATCATACTGTATTCAAAGGACCAACACACCTGTTGACGAGTCTTTAAGCGCGTGTTCAACATGCTTCTTACTGGCAGTAAACAGTGTTGCAGAGATATAAAGGGAGCGTACTTGAACAACGGATTTCAAAAGAACACCTTCACGAAGCAACAGAAGATGAAGGCACCACAACGATGACATAAACTTCCCGAGTACTTCTGGCTCATTGAGTTGACACTGGAACATTTTATTTATTAAAGCTTTACTTAAAATTTTTTCTCTCCACATCTTCAGTCATTTTTTAATAGTTTTTTTTCTATACAATAACTATATTAACCCTTTCACTGCATAGTTTGGATATATCCAGATAAACATTTATATCCAATGACTGCAAAATTAAACTTAACCCACGGCTACCAAAAAAAAGTTTCCCTCTACTGCGACATGCGGGAATATCCCCCGTACTCAATTTTTTGTTTCAATCATTATTTTTCAAGAAACATTACCATCAGATATAGAAAACACAGCTTCTTACAATATTGAAAACTAATACAAAGGGTCAAATTAATACTTTTATTGTTTGGTGAATAACTGACACTTTTTGGGAATCAGCCTAACAATTAATTGAGCAGTGAAAGGGTTAACTTAACCTGTATTACATGACAAACACTATTAGAAAACTAGTTCCTAATTAAGAAATTCTACATTTAGCAATAAAATACTTGGAATTAACCTGAATGATGATAATAAAAATTAAATGTACAGAAATAAATTATTTAGAGACAGAAATTTGATGTTTTATTCACAATAAATTCTAATCTTGTTAAGTTAAAATATATGATAAACAAACAAAGATCTGACAGCATAACATTAACATAATATCTAAGACTAACCTATTTACTGTGTTGGCACTCCCGATTACAGCAAAGAAGGAACTTTACGTTTCGATATTACAACAATTTTCAACATCATGGACATAAATAATCCTTAACAACATTCACTTAGTTGTGTAAGGAAAGTCCGAGAGGACTGTATTTTATGACATAAAGAAGGCATAACTTTGAATATTTTGATGTTGTATGTATTTAAATACAGGAGTAATTTCTTCACCTTGAAAAAGTCCATTAAAAGCTTTTGAGACTTCTGCTGCACGGCCCCTTTATTCGACCCAGCCAATTCAGTTAACAAGTATAATAACTGAAGTAAGAGACTCTCGGTGATGGAGGAACCCGGTACGAACCACGCATGTTCTGTAAAACAAATAATGGCAGAATAAAGAATTTTGAACCAATTGACAAAACTGTGTTCTAAATCAGCTAACAAGTGTAAAATGTAAACTTAGATTCCAAAATCTTAGCACGTGTATTGTGAAAGAAAAATCTTAGCACGTGTAAATACACGTGCTAAGATTTTCTCTCCCAAACACGTGCTAAGATTTTCTCTCCCATTGGGAAAGAAAATCTTAGCACGTGTATTGGGAGAGAAAATCTTGGCACATGTATTGGGAAAGAAATTATGTAATTGTGTTTTGTTTTTTTCAACTGCCAAAATATACAAGAAATTTCAAAATGTGCATATTCTTGAGTTAGCAACCTATATACAAAGAAAAAAAAAGACTACTATAAAAACTTAAACACATACTGAACATTAAAAAATCAGTTTTAAGCGAGTATGTGGATGCTGTAAGATAACAAAGTACATGGAGAAGCTTAAAGTTTTCATCTATCGATCATATAGATTAGAAAGTCGAAGATAACAAGCAATGAGGAACTAAAGAAACTGTCCAATCAAGAGGACATTATGGATCGAAACTGCAAGAAAAGAATGGAGAAGGATAAGTTGTATTTTACAGAAAGTCCAAACAAACGTTTTCAGAGAAGCAACTTTCTGGACCACTGATGGGAAATGAAGAGAAGAAAGGTCAAAAGTTTTACCTCTCACATAACAACATAGGTGGCATTAAAAATACTGAGGAACATGTAACAGAATTGGTTCAAGACAGGGCAAGACAGCAACGGTGTATTGAGGCCTTATGTCCCATTTGGAAGACATAAGACTAAGTATACTTTCAAAACAACTTATTCAAGACTAAAAATAAATAAATAAAATAGGAAACTGGACTTCAGAGAAATTATTAAGTATATTTGTCATTCAATGTAATCTGTGAAGAGGACACCCCCGAAATTGTCTCTAAGTTTACTTTAAAAAAATATGATGCTGATAAACAGAAGCATTGGTATATTAAATTAACTTACTGAACATTAAATACAACCTACTTTTAAAGTCTGAACCACCAATATAATTTACTCAACGTGTTAGTCAGAGAGGAATATAAATGCGTGCTCCCCAGCCAATCACATACTTTATTTGAACACAACGTTTCCTCACCCAGTTTTTACAATAATTCAAAACGCAATACAAATAATGGGAACGCGGAACATAAATAAATGAGACATACATTTGTTTTCACTTAGAGTTTTTAAAAATACGATTAAAATAACAATATACTAGTAGGATTCAAACATGACCGAGTAATATCATCCAATTTACTTCCAACAACTTTATCTTCAAAAAATAACAACAACTCCAGTTGAATCATTGTGTTTAGATCCAATTGAAAAAGTTATTGTAACTAATTTTGGTATAACTTCAAGTCCCGTCGAACTTACCCTTCAAGTGTTGTCCACATTCTACACCTTGGATAATAGAGCTAAGACATTTTAAAATGGCTGATAATGGAATCTTCCGCTTTCGCAGAGCTCTTAGGGTTAGTTCAAATGCCTTTCGTTCATCCGTTTCTATTTGTTCTTCTGTGAATATCTAAAAAATATGTGATATAGAAACTACTAAATATCCAACTATAATATACATTCATTGTAAACCTTCAACATTTTTTATACAGATCAAAATGTCATGTGCTAAACTGATACAAAATAGAACTGTATTATACATTTAATTAGAGTGTGGGAAAATATGGAACCAAACCATGTTTTAAATATTCAGTAAATGTTCAATTGAACCAGCTTGTCTTTTAGCAAATATAGCTTGTTTAAAAAAAATTGAAAAATATTTAATCAACGGTGTTATAGACTGGTTTTTCCCTTCACCAACAGGTTTTGAACTGTCTTCTTTTATCTTAACTTTTTATTATGTGAAAAGTTTCCTTGTAGTTGAGGTGACCACAAACAAACAGGCCAACAGTCATGACTGTTATAAACTCTGATAAAACAAACAGTCCAACAATCAAGACTGTTATAAACTATGATAAAACAAACAGTCCAAAATCAAGACTGTTATAAACTCTGATAAAACAAACAGTCCAACAATCAAGACTGTTATGAACTCTGATAAAACAAACAGTCCAACAATCAACACTGTAATAAACTCTGATCAAACAAACAGTCCAACAATCAAGACTGTTATAAACTATGATAAAACAAATAGTCCAACAATCACGACCGTGATAAACTGGTTGCTAGAGAAAATGCTAGGTTATCCATACAAACCAAAAAGCATGGCTGCAATAACCTCGAAACCAACAGAAATATTGAGTTTTCTGTAAAACATAATCAAAATATTTTACTTAACCCTAATAACCAACAGAAATATTGAGTTTTCTGTAAAACATAATTAAAATATTTTACTTAACCCTAATAACCAACAGAAATATTGAGTTTTCTGTAAAACATAATTAAAATATTTTACTTAACCCTAATAACCAACAGAAATATTGAGTTTTCTGTAAAACATAATCAAAATATTTTACTTAACCCTAATAACCAACAGAAATATTGAGTTTTCTGTAAAACATAATCAAAATATTTTACTTAACCCTAATAAAGTAAATATAAGAACTCTTGATTTAAAACCAACCAAACATTCATTTAAAGCAATATTACAGCTTGTACTCTTTTCTATGCTAAACAAACTATTCATGAAACAAAGATTACTTAATCTGAAATTAACAGTTCTGATGGACCAACTCTAATGTTATCAAGGGCTAATTATCTCTTAACAACTACTAGCATAATCTGTGGTCATTTTGTTAATGGTGAAGCTTTTAAATTCCTGACTAATTTGTTGTTTCTTTCAAATTGTGATTAGATATTTAAAATTTGGTACTCGTTAACATCCCAGCTCATATCTGCACTAAGGAAAGAACTGGACGGATCATCTGGTTATTTTAGGTAATGAGAAACACGTTTTCTTTTAAATCTATATTTTAATTGTCATGTTTAGATCACTGCTTTTCATTACTCTTGTTTGTAATAATAAAAAATGATTTACTTTTAAAACAATTTATTTTAATACCTTTTCCTCTTTCAGCCAATTGCTAAATGAAATCACAATCTTGTATGCAATGTCTACTTTGTTATTTAAAGGAAACGGTGAGACAAAAACATGACTGAGTAGCTGACACACGAGAAATTTCATGGTAGCATCTTCTCGATCAACAGCTTCTAGCAGAGACTCAATCTGTAGAAACCAAATCAATAAGTCATTAGAACGATTATTTACATTTACTGACTTGATAACATGTTATTTTACACTAGTACGCAGGTAATACAAGCAACATATACAAGGTAATATAACACAGGTAATACAAGAGGTAATATAACAGGTAATACAACACAGGTAATACATGAGGTAATGTGGTGCAGGTAATACAAGAGGTAATATAACACACATAATACAAGAGGTAATATAACACACATAATACAAGAGGTAATATAACACACGTAATACAAGAGATAATATAACACAGGTAATACATGAGGTAATATAACACGGTAATACATGAGGTAATATAAGACAGGTAATACATGAGGTAATATGATGCAGGTAATACAAAAGGTAATATAACACAGTTAATATATGAGGTAATATGACACAGCTAATACATGAGGTAATATGACAAAGGTAATACAACAAGATAATATGGTGTAGCTAATAGCAGGTAATACATGAGTTAATATAACAAAGGTAATACAACAAGATAATATGGTGTAGCTAATAGCAGGTAATACATGAGTTAATATAACAAAGGTAATACAACAAGATAATATGGTGTAGCTAATAGCAGGTAATACATGAGTTAATATAACAAAGGTAATACAACAAGATAATATGGTGTAGCTAATAGCAGGTAATATAACAAAGGTAATACAAGAAGATAATATGGTGTAGCTAATAGCAGGTAATATAACAAAGGTAATACAACAAGATAATATGGTGTAGCTAATAGCAGGTAATATAACAAAGGTAATACAACAAGATAATATGGTGTAGCTAATAGCAGGTAATATAACAAAGGTAATACAACAAGATAATATGGTGTAGCTAATAGCAGGTAATAGGACAAGAGTAATATGAAACAGGTAATGTGAATTTTTCAAATCAAAGACACGAACAAGATAACAAGACCTTCTATGTTTATAAATAACAAGATTACAAACAGTTGTGAATCAAGTCAACTCTCAACAGAAAACAAGAGTCAGTATTTTCAAAGCAAAGTATTTATCTGAAGTATTTTGTTTGATTCTATAGAACAACCTACCAATGTTTCTTTATGTGAAGTCTCCAATTGTTCTATGTTCTGACCAAGAAGTTTCAAAACTGTCTGACTAAAGTCTACAAAAGTATCTCCTGCTTTGCTCTCTTCCAATGTAGAAACCACTTCTCTACATTCTGAAAATCATGTTAATTCTTGAAACAATCTATTTAGGATGGTAATGTGTACAGAGAGACATGGATCGTGTAAAGAGTCAAAATCATTAGGTTAGTAAGATACAAGCGAGAACAAATTACGTACATCAAGTTACTAAAACTATTCAATCAATGTTTTCTTTCATGAAACGGTTTAAACATTACATGACAAACCCTAATTAGTAATTTAAGAATTGATTTATACTTGTTATACTTTAAAAATTAATGTACGGCATAAAAAAATGATAAAAAACATGTACAAGTTGAGTTTATCACACAGCTAAGCCCCCACTAACGTTACATTGTATGTTTAAGTCCCCCAAGTTGATTCATCTTGGCCTTTGGTCCGTGACTTTCAAAAGTTAATCATATCTACAACTTTGTACCCGTTATATAAATTTGGTCAAAATCATCCATCCAACCTCAAGATATCCCGTCCATAAAATTGTAATGGATGGACGAACAGACTGGGGCAAACAAACAATTACTTCGTTAAATGTTCAACAACTTACAAACTCGTAAAACAATAATACAGACACGACCAACCTTCCCAGATGCCAGTTAACAGAGAATGTGTTGATGCAAGAGGGGACTGCAAAATGCTTCTTGCAAAATTTACTTCATGTTTATTCACTGCTACTAACAACGGTAACACATCAATGAAAAGTTTGGTTTGTTGAGTATCTGATCCGGTACTTTTAGTAAACAGATGTTCAAGAGCTTTCGTCTTCACTTGACACCTGCATAAAAAAATTGTTTCAATCTAAAAGTTCCTCGTGAATTCAAGGAAGACACTTATACTCTAATGCTTCATTTCATTATTTAAAAAACTAGTTAATTGCAATATGGGAAACATTTACTAAGGCTTCCAACACAATTACAGAAAACAAATTGTGTTACTGAGAGTTTTAATTGTTTCCAATGGTTTGGTGGAAATATTTCATTGAATAAAGACATGGTGTTAAAAGAAAAGGAGAACTTGTTTAAAAAATTTAAATTATATCGGTTAAAAATCAGAAACGTGAAAAACTTAATTTTACCCCCAAACATTTCACATTTCCCGACACTATTGTGTACGAACAATGTTACTTTGATGTTTTTTAAAACTAGAAAATTGGAACAATTATTTACTTCCTTGCATTGTTAATTTATGTTTTGAATTTATTTTATTTTTTGTTACTAAATATTTTAGAATCATTTAAGTTTCAAAACCTTTGTGAATTGTTTGTGTTCCTGGACTATAACAATCGACACATTCTTTCCCAAATTTTGAAAATTACCAATGAATCTTTCTGAAATAGCATTTTGCCAGTCAACATTTAAGAAAGTTAAATAAGATGCCTAGTTTTAGTAAAATAAATTTTAAGATGCTCAAGTGTGTTTAAAATCGTAATCACAAATCATTTTACCATTTTCTATAATTGTTATTTGCTCGTTTCTTCACTATATCCATCAATATAGGTGTGATATCATCATCTGTTAGGTAGGTAGTCAAAATCTAAAGTGAAAAAATGTTTCTTTTAGACAATAATGTAGGTATTACGTATCCTAAAACACACTTTATCAGGAATACCATATACATCATATAAAAACTGGTATCATAATTGAACTATACACCTTACTTATGTTGCTGGTTTTGTACTTGCTAACTTTTGCTTATAAAATTTCTTCTAAGCTTTAAACTTTCATGCTGTCTTTTATATCACAATAATAATACTTGTTTCGATTGATAACATCTCAGGCTGTCTTTTATATCATCATAATAATAATACTTGTTTCGATTGAATACATCTCAGGCTGTCTTTTATATCATCATAATAATACTTGTTTCAATTGAATGAATCCGCTATAAAGTTAAAAGAAGTTTAAGAAAATAAGAATAACTTAGAAAATTGCCGAGTTTTAAAAACTTTATTTTTATTTATGGGCAATGATGTTTTAATCTGATGAAGAGTGCTAGCTAGGAAAACCATTTTCCAGAAATAATAATAAAATATATATATATATATATATAATTTAACGATTTTGTAACCCAATCTTTAATTTCTGTTTCTCTGTCACCGTGAACTATACCCACTTTGTTCTACAATGGACTTTTGAACCCATTTTGATGCATGTCATGAGCAAAGGTACAAAGTGGGTATCAAGCTGTACTAGGCTAAAGACAGAACAACCTGTACGATGCTGCACTAAGCCTTAAGATATAATAATGGTTATCAAGCTGCACTAGGCCTAAAAGTACAACAAAAGGAAACCTAGCTAGTATGACAAAGAAGATTAAACTGTACTAGGCTTGAAGTTGTGACAAAAAGTATCAAACTGCACTAAGCCTAAAGTTTTGACAAATAGTGTCAAGCTGTACTAAGCCTAAAGTTGTGACAGTATGTCAAGCTGCACTAACCCTAAAGTTATGGCAAAGGGTGTCAAGTTGTGCTAAGCCTAAAGTCATGACAAAGCATGTCAAGCTGCATTAGGCTTACTTTCTATTAGTAAATAAATTAGCTTGCATCCCTTCGTCTAAAATTTCTTTCATGTCAGATGCAAACAAACAGCAAAGTACCGTAGAGTTTTGATTACTTACTCAGTTGCTGACATTAAATAATATTTTAACATAAAGCTGAAAATAGCTATCTGTGCTGCATCAATCAAGATGATCGAATCTCAAATTTTAACATTATACCACTGAGCCAATAGAAGATAATAATACTTTAAAAAAATTCAAGATATGTGAACAAGCTAACCTAAAAAATTACAGCTCAAAGTTAAGGTTTCACACATCTCTGATTTGAAATGCAAAACGAAAAAATGCAGATCAAGAGAGAAAAAAAACATCAGCAGTTTACGTTATTTTTTTATTACAAATATTAAGTTAATGGATCAATTATACTGAGTTAAAACTAATCTTATTAGTTACAATTTACAAGCAAAAGAAATTTAACATATTTACTCTTGTTTAAATTTCCTTCTTTAGTGTTTTCTTCAGGTCTTGTTTTTGTTTCTTTTAAGTAACATTGTAACAAACTATCATAAAAGCACCAAAAGAATTCATAGGACAACTAATTAGGCTTAGAAGGTCACTGCACCAAAAGTTTGTTTTTCATTTTTCCTTGTCTATTTTATTTAGCTCAGAGTATATGTAATATTTTTACATTTAGAGTTGTATCATCTTTTAAATTTTTTACAATTTTCATTTATTCATTTTTGTAAATTGTGGTACGAGTCATAACTAATAACTTATACATTTCCTTCTAACCTACACTCTTATTCCTAGATTTACCTATCAGTTTTTTAAAACACACCTTTCTAAACTTTTTTTATACATTACACTACTTGTTGGTTACAGTTCCCTAAGAATATAGAAGTCGCACAAGAAAAATGTAAATAATGCAGTTAATCCTAATATTTTACATGAAATATGAGAACCGTAATAGACAAAAGGTAGTCTAACCCAAAATTTAAAACCAAATATTTGGCCTTCTTAATTACTAGTACACATAGAATGTTGTGGCATAAAATAAACAATCAAGCTGTTAGTCTGAATCACCACAGGTGTGGCATAAAATAAACATTCAGGTTGTTAGTCTGAATCACCACAGGTGTGGCTAGCTAGCGTTTACTTACCATGTAAAAAACATCCAACAAATATTGTTTAGACTCTTCAGATGATATGTTAACTGGTCAGTAAAAAGTTTAATAAAAGATATATACAATTTATATAGTACAAAAACCAAAAAGTTGTATATCGTTTTGTATGTAACTATATTTTCTTTTAACAATAAAAACATCACTATTTAAAACAGGTAATAATGATAAACTAGTTAATATATAACAATCTTTAAATACTCTTACCTTTCTATACTTTAACACCTTTGCAACAACTACAGGACTATCATCTGCTAATCTAGACCGTAGATTCTCACTGATAAACTCTACATCCAGATCCTAAGATACAATTAAAACCAAAGAATGTTATTTTGGAAAACCCTTTTCCTCAGTCTATTTTTTTTAAACTGAAAACTGAGCAGTTATTATCTATAAATATCATAAGTATTCAATGTTACTTTTATATTTAAACTTGAAGTTGAGGTTGGTCAAATTTCAGGTAAACGTGGTTAGGTGTTTCATGGATGCAGTTTTAACTTGCAATGTTTTGTTACACCAGTAGTAATTACAATCATTTTGAAGTTACGTCAATCAGATAGTCACTGCTTATAAAATATACATCCCTTAAGCCTTGAGAAGTTTCTTTTATTAGGTCTTAGTTATTCATCTATATAACCACTACTAGTACTCTTTATTTAGTGGCTACCACAAAATGTTAGCATAAACCTGCATCACACTAACAAAGCTGCAGTTTCAATAAAATGATAAAAGTAAAATATCTAGAATCGCAGGTCAACTGAAAACAATTAATTAATTTTACACAACTATACCCTTAGGCCTAACATTAAAACAATTCATTTTACACAACTATACCCTTAGGCCTGACGTTAAAACAATTAATTCATTTTACACAACTATACCCTTAGGCCTGACATTAAAACAATTAATTCATTTTACACAACTATACCCTTAGGCCTGACATTAAAACAATTAATTAATTTTACACAACTATACAATTAGGCCTGACATTATTCAATTTCTTTATAACCTTCTTCAATCAATACTTCTCTAGTATTGGATATTAAGAACTGTATCAAACGTCTAATCCACTTTTACTTTCAAATAATTTACAAAAGCCCTAAAATTTCCAGAAAAAAATCGTCGTTATTTGTAGAATTTAGCACAGAACTACACAAGGGCTATCAAGGCAGCAGTCCCTATCTTAGCAGTGAGAGATAAGAGGGAAGGCATCTAGTTAACACCACCTACGAGTATCTTGTTGGCTCCTCGAATCAAAGAGTTGGATTTGAATGTTACTGTTATAATACATTCACGGTGCCAAAGAAAAAAAAAATGTTACACCTAGTTTTGGCACCAGTCTTAATACAACAGGTAAAAAATAAGTTAATTTTTCCATCTGATGTTGGCCTAATATCAAAAACTAGTCGTGATAGTTTTTTTCTCCAAAAGTTTAGGGCTTTTTCTCGTGTTTACGTATTGCTACAAAAACTTTCAAAAAATGCTGAATAATGATACTTAGATTTTCACACACAAACAGAAACTTGGAATACTCTGAGATACAATCCATGGAGATCAAACTTTTAAAATCATATTAATTCCTGATATCTTTATGATTTATCTCATTTAAAATGTTTCGAGTTTTAGAACTGTATTAATCGCTAGTAACTTACACATTTCTTATTATTTTTCTCTGAAAGTTCACATGCAAGTGTTTCCACTGCTAACATCCTGATATTATCATTAGGATGGTTTAAGCCTAAATACAGATTTGCACTTCCACCAGGAAGAAGCTTATGTTTGGATCCTGAAAAAGTATTCAGTAATTTTTGAACGACAACTCGTTTTTTTGTTGGAACCTCTTGAATAAAATTTCCAACAGCCTGGTCAAAACAAACAGGATATCTGGAAAAAAATAAAATAGAAAAAAAACATACTTTTTTTATTATTCAGAAAAGCATTCTCCAGACTAATATAGCTACTAACACGATTAATTCTGAGTATAGATATAGCAATCTCCTGTATTGAAAAATAATCTATTTACATGTTGACAAAATAACAAAATTTGACAAAGATATTCACATGTAAAACTCAAACACACTTAAGAAAATATTCCCTTAGCAATGGAGTAACCAGTATCTGGAAAACAAGAGAAACAGAAGTACTCTCTATACTGGGTGTTCCAAAAGTCAGATACAATTGCTTTTTTCAGGCTTCTTTGTAGTTTTTTTACAGATAGATTGAGGAACATTATTTGTTTTGTTTTTATTAGAGTTACACCCTATTGGGTCTATCTGCTGTGTTTTAGAGTTACACCCTATTGGGTCTATCTGCTGTGTTTTAGAGTTACACCCTATTGGGGCTGTCTGCTGTGTTTTTAGAGTAAAGCCCTATTGGGGCTATCTGCTGTGTTTTTAGAGTAAAGCCCTATTGGGGCTATCTGCTGTGTTTTTAGATTAAAGCCCTATTGGGGCTATCTGCTGTGTTTTTAGAGTAAAGCCCTATTGGGGCTATCTGCTGTGTTTTTAGAGTAAAGCCCTATTGGGGCTATCTGCTGTGTTTTTAGAGTAAAGCCCTATTGGGGCTATCTGCTGCATCCATTGTAGGTAATCAATCCCAGATTTTAGAATTGTAAGTCCGTAAACTTACTCTTGTCCCACCAGAGGACACACGTGATGGTCATCTACACGGAACACTCTGGTACAATACTGAATTTTAGGGCAAACATTTTGATAATATTCTGTAAATGTGTAAAGACATTCACCTGATGCAAACTGACAACCATGTATAACATGTAACATCTGACAGATGGTAGCAAACACTATAAAACACCGACAGATGAGAGATGGTAGCAAACATTTTGAGAATATTCTGTAAATGTGTAAAGACATTCACCTGATGCAAACTGACAACCATGTATAACATGTAACATCTGACAGATGGTAGCAAACACTATAAAACACTGATAGATGGTAACAAACACTATATAACAAAAACCATCTGATAAATGAGAGAGATGGTAACAAACACTATATAACACTGACAGATGAGAGATGGTAGCAAACACTATATAACACCGACAGATGAGAGAGATGGTAACAAACACTATATAACAAAACCATCTGACAAATAAGAGAGATGGTAACAAACACTATAAAACACTGACAGATGGTAGTAAACACTATATAACAAAGCCATCTGACGTGTCAGATGACAAAGATGGTAACAAACACTATAAAACACTGACAGATGGTAGCAAACACTATATAACAAAGCCATCAATGGAGCTGGGTGATTAGTGACATTTGCTAATTGGTGAATCTTTCAGCTAATTAATCAATTAAATTAAACTGATTGATTGCTCTGACGTGATACTAATAATCCTATTTCCAAATTGTTTTGAGTTTTTTAAAGACATCTTAAAACTTCCCTTCATTTAATATGGTGGACATCTTCAGTTACTTTAATTCTAAACTGTTGTACACGAAAACATATATATTCAACATAGCATGAAACCTGTAACAAGTTGAAAATACAATTACTGTCTTGCGGTTTCTCTCTACAAGTTTCCCCAAGACTACTCTACTCAAAATAATTAATTTTTGTTGATGAAAATAAACATTACCTAGTGACATTGGTTACTAATCAGAAATTTACTAAATGCAACCTTCCCAGGTCTTTAGCATTGACATGCTCTTTAAAAAAAATGTTCACCGGGGTAATGCATGACCAGTCAGTACGGTCAAGAAAAAGAGTACAGGATTGTTATGGAAAACAGGGGTATTTCTGATTAACTAAGTAATCAGTTGTATCAATTTAATCACCCAGGTCCATCCCTGAGCAATGAAATATTTGACAAATGTGAGAGAGGTAGTAGCACACAATATACAACAGGCCCCTGAGTAATCAAGTAGGTGAGAGAGAGCTAGTAGCACACAATATACAACAGAGCCCTGAGCAATGAAATATTTGACAAATGTGAGAGAGGTAGTAGCACACAATATACAACAGAGCCCTGAGCAATGAAATATTTGACAAATGTGAGAGAGGTAGTAGCACACAATATACAACAGAGCCCTGAGCAATGAAATATTTGACAAATGTGAGAGAGGTAGTAGCACACAATATACAACAGAGCCCTGAGCAATGAAATATTTGACAAATATGAGAGGTAGTAGCACACAATATACAACAGAGCCCTGAGCAATGAAATATTTGACAAATGTGAGAGAGGTAGTAGCACACAATATACAACAGAGCCCTGAGCAATGAAATATTTGACAAATGTGAGAGAGGTAGTAGCACACAATATACAACAGAGCCCTGAGCAATGAAATATTTGACAAATGTGAGAGAGGTAGTAGCACACAATATACAACAGGGCCCT